CTCTCTCTCTGGTCTCTCTCTCTGGTCTCTCTCTGGTCTCTCTCTCTGGTCTCTCTCTCTGGTCTCTCTCTCTGGTCTCTCTCTGGTCTCTCTCTCTGGTCTCTCTCTCTGGTCTCTCTCTGGTCTCTCTCTCTGGTCCCTCTCTCTGGTCTCTCTCTCTCTGGTCTCTCTCTCTGGTCTCTCTCTCTCTGGTCTCTCTCTCTGGTCTCTCTCTCAGGTCTCTCTCTCTGGTCTCTCTCTCTGGTCTCTCTCTGGTCTCTCTCTCTGGTCTCTCTCTGGTCTCTCTCTCTGGTCTCTCTCTCTGGTCTCTCTCTCTCTGGTCTCTCTCTCTGGTCTCTCTCTCTGGTCTCTCTCTCTGGTCTCTCTCTGGTCTCTCTCTCTGGTCTCTCTCTCTGGTCTCTCTCTGGTCTCTCTGATATGTTTCCTGGTTCCAGAAGCAGCAGTGTCTGGTGTCTGAGGATGACGATTGCACCACAGGGTCTGAGGTCACGGAGGACGAGGTCGGAGACGAAGAGGAGATCAACAAGAAGCAAGGTCTTTACATTCACTCTCTTAACGCTCGGGTACCTAACTTTATCTCTCGTAAAAACACATGTTGTTTGTTTTAACAGAAAGAGTTTTGTCAAAGTAAAACATTTTGAACAAATCAGACCAGAACATGTTTCTTCATCTCATTAGAAAACATATATCCTCTGTGTGAGAAAGATTCCTGTGAGTCACTATCTGACTCTTTGGGCTGAAGGTGATTGGCCGAGAGAGGGGGGTCTTCTCTGTGACACCGTATGAAAAATCTGATAAAAAAAATAAAAATACAGAGACCAGAGATCTAGTTTGCATTTGAAAACTAGAGAAATAATCTTTGCTCTCTCTCTGGTCTCTCTTTCTGGTCTTTTTCTGTCTCTGGTCTCTTTCTGGGCTATATCTCTCTGGTCTCTCTCTAGCATTTTTCTGGTCTCTTTCTGATCTCTCTCTGGTCCCTCTCTGCTCTCTCTTTGCTCTCTCTTTCTGGTCTCTCTGGTCTTTTTCTGGTCTTTCTCTCTTGAGCCTTTCTCTTTTGTCTCTCTACTGCTCGTGATAGAAGCTAATCTGTTTTAGAGCCAGGATCTGGAGACATGGATTTGACATAGTTCTTTTGTTGTGGTTTGAAAGTTACATCCCTCAGCTTTACGCACATGTCTCTCACTCTGTGTTTCTGACTTTCGTGTCCAGCTGCGAAAAAGGCCAAAAAACCTCCACGACCGCTGAAGAAACAACTGTCCTCTCCAAACTTCAGCCGCAGAGAGAAGAACGACAAGGTGAGACCAGAGAGAGACCTGAGAGAGAGACCTGAAAGAGAGACCAGAGAGAGAGACCAGAGAGAGAGACCAGAGAGAGACCAGAGAGAGAGACCAGAGAGAGAGACCTGAGAGAGAGACCAGAGAGAGAGACCAGAGAGAGACCAGAGAGAGAGACCAGAGAGAGAGACCTGAGAGAGAGACCAGAGAGAGAGACCAGAGAGAGAGACAAGAGAGAGACCAGAGAGAGAGACCAGAGAGAGAGACCAGAGAGAGAGACCAGAGAGAGAGACCAGAGAGAGACCAGAGAGAGAGACCAAGAGAGAGAGACCAGAGAGAGAGACCAGAGAGAGACCAGAGAGAGAGACCTGAGAGAGAGACCTGAGAGAGAGACCTGAGAGAGAGACCAGAGAGAGACCAGAGAGAGAGACCTGAGAGAGATACCAGAGAGAGAGACCTGAGCGAGAGACCAGAGAGAGAGACCAGAGAGAGAGACCAGAGAGAGAGACCAGAGAGAGAGACCAGAGAGAGAGACCAGAGAGAGAGACCAGAGAGAGAGACCAGAGAGAGACCAGAGAGAGAGACCAGAGAGAGACCAGAGAGAGAGACCAGAGAGAGAGACCAGAGAGAGACCAGAGAGAGAGACCTGAGAGAGAGACCAGAGAGAGAGACCAGAGAGAGAGACCAGAGAGAGAGACCAGAGAGAGAGACCAGAGAGAGAGACCAGAAAGAGAGACCAGAGAGAGAGACCAGAGAAAGACCAGAGAAAGACCAGAGAAAGATCAGAGAAAGACCGGAGAGAAACCAGAGAGGAAACTCCTCTGGTTCAGTAAGTTTGTGTCTCACTCACCATTTTGAAACTTTTAAAATCCAGATATGAGCCATAACAACCGACCAATCAGGAGCCTTCGCAGCACAAGTCGAGACAGACCAGCTCCTGATTGGCTGCTGGTTCCTGGGTTGTTGCTAACATACAAACAGCCTGTTGGAGCTAGCTCTAAGGCTAACCCTGTGGCTGCTCCTAAATATGGTCTGTTTGTGTTTCAGGCTCCGGTCAAAGACAGCACCCCCTTCACGTGGGTTTGGACTTTTATTATTTTTATTTTCATCTTTATTTTTATTTTTATGACAAGTGTCTGAGCCGCACATTTGTCTGTTACAGAGTCAGCGTTCAGAAAAGCAAATGGGACACGAGCCGATCTCTGCGATACAACCAGGACCTGCAGAGAGAGGAGGGTAAGAGGGTCTCAAACTGTGGTCTCGCAGGACTTCACACTGTTGTCTATTCCTAGCTGTAGATCCAGGACTGAGGCTGTAGACCCAGGACTGAGGAGGCTGTAGATCCAGGACCAGATTAAGTCAGAGAGGAGAAATTGTGCTGTTACCAGACTTCTCCAGCAGGAGGCTCTATAATAGACCATTTCTTTACAAAATAAAAAGGAATATCCTAAGCCTGGCCTTAAATGTAGAGACCGTGTCTGCTTTTGGTCCGGTCTCTTGTCTCCTGGTCCTGGTACCATATATAACAAACACTTCTTTCCCTCAGACCAGCGCAGGATGACTGAGATCATCGAGCATTTGACCCAGATGAGGTTTGGAGACCAGGAGCCGAGAACGAGCAAAGATCCACAAGAGGTGATTCTACAGACCAGACCCAAGGACCAGACCGGACCCAAGGACCAACCAACACAACACACACATTAATATCGTCATGGTCCCTCTGGTCTCTCATGTGTTCTTCTGGTCTCAGTCATCAGGAGGAATCTACTCCAGACTCGAGGCTCAGTTCAGGAACACCATCCAGAGACAGAACAACGACAAGATGCCGAGGTACTGAGACACACACACACACACACACACACACACACACACATATATACACACTCCCCCTACCCCTCTCCTCTCTCCGTCCATGCTGTGATCAAAGTATTTTTTTTTTGATTTTTTCAGATCTAAAACTCGTTACGCTCAGATCAAATCCACCTGAAGCTGCTCTTCGTCTCCGTGGAAACTCTGTCACGGGTCATGTGACATCAGTGCTTTAGGAGCGGCTTCTAAGGACGTGGACCAGCAACACGACTGAGATACTGCTACTGCTACTACTACTGCTGCTAATATGCATCTATATCTACTAGTTATTAGTGAGTTTATCACAGACTTGGCTCGAGTGGGGCCGGTCCACTTGAGTCCAGTTCAGACTCATCTGCACTCATGTCCTCACAGTGGACCAGAGTTTGGACCAAGAACTGATGGAGAAAGCACGGATCTGTTATAAGACTTTTGCACCTTTAGCCCTGTTTCCACCAGCCTAAGATTATTTCTACTCTACAAAATAATCCACAAGACAAAACAATGTCTTTTACACATAACTGTAATATCATGGTGACCGTATTCTTTGATCTCTGGTCTCTCTCTCTCTCTTGGCTTCCTCTCCCTCTGGTCTCTCTCTCTCTCTCTCTTGGCTTCCTCTCCCTCTGGTCTCTCTCTCTCTCTCTCTCTTGGCTTCCTCTCCCTCTGGTCTCTCTCTCTCTCTCTTGGCTTCCTCTCCCTCTGGTCTCTCTCTCTCTCTCTCTTGGCTTCCTCTCCCTCTGGTCTCTCTCTCTCTCTCTCTCTCTTGGCTTCCTCTCCCTCTGGTCTCTCTCTCTCTCTCTCTTGGCTTCCTCTCCCTCTCTGCTTTCTCCCCCCTGGTCTCTCTCAGCATGTCATCCACTAGAAAGCACTTCCAGACATGAGAATATAGAATTTTGTGAACCTAAAGATTTTTGCAACACAAGATTAATACACTGCATATGTTTTGTCCCATAAAAGTTACAGATTGGAGCTTTATCTGCGTCTGTATCAACATCATGAATGCTTTGTTTGAATGTCATTTCTGTTGATATTGAACTTTGATTGTAGTTGAACAGTTTTGAATCTCCAATCCAACCTGTGACCAGTAGATGGCACCGTTTCCCTTTAAAATAAACTATTTACCAACGCTGGTGACGTCACACTCCAACATATGAAATAAAGAGTCTTATCGGAGGCAGAGTTATAAAATTCAACTTTAATCAGTTCAAAAAGTTCACGACAGAAGTAACACCATGTCATTTACATGTTCCTAATCGGCGACGCTTGAAATCCGTCCAAAAACGTCTGCATTTGGACAAAACTCAGAACAAAATACAAAATAAAAACCTACATTTGCTCCCAGCGTCACAGGAGCAAGAACCGAAGAGAGAAGAGAGAAAACACAGGACAATACAGGGATAAAGCTGGGGAACCTGACTTTACTGTGTCATAAATATTCCACGTTTGTGCGGGTCTGGTACCGCTCAGAAGAACCCAAAGAGTCACTTTCTGACTCTTTGGGCTGAGGGTGAGGGGGGGGGGCTCCCTTTGTCACTTTTCAGTCTGAAGTATCATCTAAAGATGTGACAAAAAACATGAAAAATAGAGACAGAACTAGATGTTTAAAATTAGGGACCCGAGCTTTAATTAAGCTTTAATTGAGAAAAGTGACAAAGACCTTTCCCCTTCATCTCTCGCCGCAGTTTAGTTATGTAGAAAGACCAAGACCTGGACCAGGATCTGGACGCGGGCAGAGACCTGGGTAGAGACTAAAGTAGTTTCTCTCTTCTGTCTGCGTTCAGCCACAGTCGGTGATGAGGAAAGAGCCATAAATAACGTCCCAAACTTCGTCCCGTAAAGAAAAACTCCTCTCAGAGGAAAACAAAACATGTCGACAGGCGACACTCCAGGGGGCGGTATGTACTCACCGACAGTCTACGCACCAACAGGACCAGTCAGACTGTACAACGAACATTATCGTGGGCCTTTGACTCTCAGGAAGAACTTTAGCAGCTCCTCGTCTATCGTGAAGAAAACAATGACGTGATTTACAGAAACGGAACAAGATGTTTCAGGGAAACTTTGTAACATTATTTCCACAATGTGTCTCCATAGCGACAGCAGTGTCTCCATAGTGTTAGCACAGTGGTCCCTGCTACACAACAACAACAGGGAAAAAAAAAACTGCACCGCTGTGATTGGTTCAGATAGAGAACAGAGAGAGAGAGAGAGAGAGAGCGAGAGCGAGAGAGAGAAAGACCAGCAGTGGTGAGTTCAGGTGGTTAGAAAAGTGTAATCCTGCCACTGGGAGCATTTACATTATTGAAGCGTATGTTGAGAACACATCACCCCCGTCATAAACCAGGGACCACTGCACTAGAACCTTCCGTCTCTAAAATCAGTCTTTTTATCGAGAGCAAATCTAAATTCTCACTTTGAACCTTCTTCCCTTAACATCTTCCAAACCAAAGATGACGCAGCTTTAAAACTCCGCACCCTTTTCCCCACCTCCGCTGACATCATTCACCACAAATTTGGCACAAATCCGACGTCGGCGAGTGGGCGTGTGCGTGCGCAGACCGTGGCGGCGCTTAGCCTTCATTCACTCGCCTCAGAGTCACATTCAACAGCTACTGCCCCAGAACCATCACAAACATGGCTCCGTCTCACTATTTATATTTATTTATAAACAATACTCAACAGAAGGTTAGACTCTAACAATGAAACCGGGGATGGAACCATGGGGTACCAGAGAGAGACCAGTGAGAGACCAGTGAGAGACTGGAGAGAGAGACCAGAGCAAGAGGCCAGAGAGGGACCAGAGAGAGACCTAAGAATAGTCTAGAATCGCTCAATCCCGATATAACATTTGGACTTTGAACGAAGACTCATCAATGGAAAAATAATCTCGTTTTTTTTCTTTGCAAGATCTCTCTGGTTCTGTTGTGGATAAAGCAAGATTTCTCTGGTTTCGACTGCGATCGTCCATCCCTTTGATAATCGTTAAACTTCATGCAATTGGTATGAGCCTAAGACACAAAAACAGGAGCTTTTCTTCGGAAAAGGGTTTACACAAAAAGTCCCATAAAAAATGCGGTAAAAAGGGCCACAGAGGACAGTCATTGGCGTTTGGTCGCTCCTGTGCAGTGCGGGTGTGGGCGGGGTTCTGGCGAAGGTTTTGGGTAGATCCATTGAGTTTTGTTGGGTTTTGGGTAGATCCATTTCAGTAGATTGAGATTTTGGGTGAATTTGTTGAGTTTCCTTGGATTTCTTTGTAAATTTCAAGGTAGTTTTGAGTGGACCAGTTGGGTCATGTTTGGAATCATGTTTGGATTTTGAGTGGATCTGGTTAATTTGGTTGATTTTATGATTAAATCTGTCTGGTTTTGTTGGATTTTTGGGTAGATCCATTACGATTTGACAGGTTATTGAGTAGATATGTTCATTTTTGGGTATATTTGGGTGAATGTGTTGAGATTTGTTGGGTTTCATTGGGTTTTTGGAGAAATCTATTGAGTAGTTGCATTTTTGGGTACATCCATTGGGTTCTTCGCAGATCCGTCTACTTTCACTGGGTATATGAGCAACTTTCTTGGAGCTACCTTGAGTTTTATTGATGGATTCATTAAGTTTCGTTGGGTTTTTGGGGAGATCTGTTGAGTTTCTTTGCATTTTTGGGTAAATCCATTCAGTTTCCTTGAGTTTCGTTGGGGTTCTCAGTCACACATTTCTTCTGGGATTTCGTGAGGGTTCAGGATTCCAGGCACAGACATCTGGATTTTGTGTTTCTCCTCCTGGGCCTGACGTAAAGACGCTTCACGCTCTTCCAAGAACAGATCCGTCGTGTCCTCACCGGCAAACTCCTGCAGGGAAAACAAAAAGTTAAAAACGCCAACTTCATCAGGATTTCTTCAACTGTTTGCACTAAAACTTGGTTCATTCCGACTCCAGTTCAGACATGGCTAGGACCTGGCTAGGACCTGGCTAGGACCTGGCTAGGACCTGGCTAAGACCTGGCTAAGACCTGGCTAAGATTTTGTTTAGACCTGGTTCTGGTCCATCCCTGGTCCATCCCTGGTCCATCCCTGGTATAGCCCTGGTATAGCCCTGGTCTAGCCCTGGTATAGCCCTGGTATAGCCCTGGTATAGCCCTGGTATAGCCCTGGTATAGCCCTGGTCTAGCCCTGGTCTAGCCCTGGTCTAGCCCTGGTATAGCCCTGGTATAGCCCTGGTCTAGCCCTACTTACCTACTACACTGGCTCTAAACTTCCTCCTGTAAAGTTCCCCTAATACTGTTTTTTATTCTGAAAGCCTGATTTACGGTTGATAAAAACCCATGACGTCTGTGTTTTAACTTTCTCCCAAACGCACTGTGTGTTTGTTTCTTTTGTTCCAGTTTGTGAAGTGGGAGCAGCTCAAACTTCTCACGGTTCACAAACGGGAACATCTCGTCTGTAAACTTTCGGTCAGGGCCCAGTTTCCCGCTGCTGTGTTCCTCTGATCCTCACCTTGATCTGCACCAGGAAGTCTCTGAGATGCTCTTTGAAAGCAGGAATGTCCTGGTTTAGACTGAAGAGACCAGTCACAAACACCTTCACCTGAGCACTACACACACACACACACACACACACACACACACACACACACACACACACACACACACACACACACACACACACACACACACACACACACACACACACACACACACACACACACACACACACACACACACACACACACACACACACACACACACACACACACACACACACGATTTAGGGCAACACAAAAATACATTGAATTGAAGGAGATGAAAAGGAATAGACATTAAAATCATAACTAATCACAGTTGTTTTTAACCTGGACTTGAACATTGTCAGAGAAGCTTGGCCTTAGCAACCGCCTTAGCAACAACACCTGTCCATATTAGACAAGTGGCTCCAGCTAGCTAATCTGCTCTCACTGAGGTGATGTCACACTTTGTCTGAACTCACTCTTGCAGATGTGGGAACGCCGTCTTCAGGAGGTTGGCCACGTACTCCTGGATGAACACCTGGTTGTTGGTGGCTGCTGTCGGGTTCAGAGCCGTGGAGATCTTTCCCTCCTCCACCAGGTTAAACATGTAGGCCAAGATGGAGGCGTGCATGGTCAGACCTGAGACACGCAGAGACACGCACACACACACAAAGAGACAGAGACACACAAACAAGATCAAGATGTTAGCTGTGTTTGTCCTGGTGTCAAAACATATTTCTCTCTACAATAGACGCATGTTACTTGCATTTTTTATAGACTCCCAACATTGACCTCAGGCCCCGTTCACATAAACATTGATGCTGCAAAATGAAAGGGACGCTTCTTATGTTTATGTGAACGGGGCTTAAAAAAATACACATGCGCAAAGATGATTTCTCAAAACATATTTTTCACTTATTGTTGAATATTGCAAGTGGTTTCTAGAGAGAGACAGACAGAGACAGAGAGAAAGAGGAGAGACCAGAGAGAGACAGAGAGAGAGAAAGAGGGACCAGACTCCAAATAAAGGAAATAGTCATGTGATTTTGTTGGAGTAAACAGACACACACCAAAGTCTGTTAAAAACAGAGGCTGCGAAAGGTGAACCATGTTTATAGTGTGTGTGTGATCTGCTCCCCCTCCTCCTCCTCTCTTTCCTCCCTCTCTCCTTCCTCCCCCTCCTCAGTGCATTTGGCCCATACTTGACTCCCTTCTCTCTGACTTCGGTTTCACAAGAGAATCCCATTGACACGTGTTTCAAAATAAATGTTCTAATTTTATCCACAGGCGCACTTCCTCCGGCCTCCATTCATAACCTCTAACTCAGCTCTAAACTCTAGAGCCTATGGTTAGAGCTGAGATAAAAAGCTGAAATGTGTTACACACGTCTAAAGACCAGAGGAGATAAGAATTTAAACATGTTAAAGACTTCTATTGTGTTCTTTTATTTCAGTAATGACCTGCTCATTTCTATTATTAATTTATTCATTTTCTGCCCCTTTATTAGTCCATTTCTGGGTCGGGGGGTGGCAATGAGAGCTGTCACCCAATGCTCATAGCACCAGTCCCTCGCTGATCCTCTGCAGGTGGTGAGTCCACAGGAAGATGGCTGCTACTTCAGTGGTGCCACAGCCTTGGTGTTTCATTTCTGATATACTGAACTATACTAAAACACTGAAACATAGCATTAGCAGCACACCCTGCAGTATACCAGCAGTGTGGGAGGTGTCCACAGCAGTAGCATTAGCAGTACAAGCAGTACCTGCAGTGTGGGAGGTGTCTGTGACCACAGCAGTAGCATTAGCATTAGCATCACCAGTACCTGCAGTGTGGGAGGTGTCTGTGACCACAGCAGTAGCATTAGCATTAGCATCACCAGTACCTGCAGTGTGGGAGGTGTCTGTGACCACAGAGAAGATGTGTTGCAGAATGTCACAGAAGTACGTCTGGTAGAAGCTCTGAGCCGCCGCCTCCTCCTGAGCCACGTTCTGCAGCAGAGTGTAGAGGATCTGGAGCCCTGTCAGAACACAAACTGTTAGACAGGACTGGACCAGGACTGTACTGGTCTGGTCTGGCCTCTGGTCCCTCTCTCTCTGGTCTTTCACAAACTAAACGGGAGCCATGTGAATCTTCTCACCGGTGTCCGCCACGTTCCTCATGGTGTGTTTGAACGCCCAGATGATGGAGTCCAGCACCAGCTTGAACTGAGCCGGAGGAATGGCCAGGAACGCCGGGAAGCAGTGCGAGTTCACCGCCTGCAGCAGGTAGAAGAAGTGCGTCCTGTGCTCCGGGAACTCCTCAAAGTTCTGAGAGAGACAAAGAGAGAGAGAAAGAGGAGACTGTAATTCAGAGGTATGTTTCACAATACCGCATTGATCTGATAAAGAACTTTGGAGAGATTCAAACGAGATTGTGGCTTCGGTCTGTTTAGTCGAGAGGATTATATTCTCAAAGTGCAGTAAGCCGAGTGTCCAGCAGGGGCCGTGCTCTTGAGCTCAACTTGGGTTGTTTTCCTCAGACATAAACCGGAAAGATTTGAGAAAGACGTGTCCTGGTCTTATTCTTAGCCCCGTTTCAAGAGAGCAGAGAGCGGATAGAGAAAACACCAGAGAGAGCAAAGAGCGAGCAGACATACCAGAGAATGTAGAGACCAGAATGAGAGAAAGAGAGCAGAGAGAGAGCAGAGAGACCAGAGAATGAAGAGACCAGGGAGAGAGAGAGCAGAAAGAGCAGAGAGAGAGACCGTGGGAGTTTGAACGATCGCTGGCCTCTCACCTTGTTGATCATGTTGAGCGTGCACTCGAACACGGCGTCAAAAATTTGTGGGATCTCAGACGTGATGTGGCCGCCAAGTTTGTTGACGATGGTTGCCATGGTGCTCAGGACCTCGGGCTCTCTTGCCGCCGGGACGTTCCTCTGGTAATCGATGAGCACAGCGTCCAAAAGGGGAGGGACAAAGTTCTCCCCGACCTGAAAGAGACGAGAGACACTGAGGACACATGAAGCACACAGACCATATGCACGTGTTTTCTTTAAATAGAACCAGTACCAAAGGGGACTAAGGAAGGACCTGGTACTGGTTACACAGGACCAGTGGAAACGCAACCAATCAGGGTAGAGTAGTTTGTTGCTCACCATCTGTGGGTCGTTGGAGCGGCTGACCCATCCAGAGATCAGCTTCAGAGTTTCCCGTTTGACAGTCCTCATGCTGCGGATCAGAGGCTGCTTCGTCACCGCCTCCCCTGGACACAAACACCACCACAAATACTTTAAATCGCTGCTTAAAGACCTTATGCCGGGTTTAAAAAAAAAAAAAAAATTGTGGATATCAAAATTGCATGACAATGCAACTCTACAGGTGACAATTGCTCACTACACATAAATTGCCGTTTGAGAGTGAAAAAGTGTCTGAGGTGGGATTTGAACCCCAGTATCTGGATTGGTAGTCCATCGACACAACCACTGGACTATCTCAGTGACAATCTTGTCATCTTGAATATCCGCGAAAAAAGAACGAATACCAAATTGTAAACAACTTACAGCGTTGAAACGTACCCACTCTGACGTCACCAAGGGCTGTGAAGTTTTTTCGTTTCTAAGGGCGTTGCTATGGGGTTATTTTGATTTGGGGGGATCAGACAAAAAAAAAAACAACTGATTTTGAAACCTTTAGTAGTTCTCTTCTAATATAAAATGGTATTAAAACTGTATTTCTAAATAAATCAAACCCGGCATAAGGTCTTTAAACCAGTCCCCTGCACGGACTAGAGGCCACCCATGGTACTGCAGCCTGAATCCACACAAACCGTAAGGAGATTTCCCCACAGACCTCAGTGTGAAACAGAGGAAGAGACTAGAGAGAAACCTTGGATAATGCTTGCGGTTATATGATGCATCTTTTGTGACCTTTTTTGAGTCTCTATTTGACTCTTTGGGCTGATTGGCTGTGTAGGAAAATGAATGCATGTTTGTGCTGGTGAAGGAGTAATGTATTGTGGGCGTGCATGTGTGCTCGGGCGTGGTACACAAGATTATGAATAGAGAGAGGTCTATTTGGGTGGCCATATTTTTTTGTTGACCGCTATTATAGTTATTTATTTATTTTTGCTATTGTCTGAAAAATCTGATCTAAAGACATGCGTCCAAAAAAACATTCATGTGAAAACTAGAGATAGAAGCAACTGTTTTAGAGCCAGAACTAGCGACATGGATTTTATTAAATAATTCTATTGTTGTGGTTTGAAAGTTACGTACCCCAGCTTTAAATACGCTAAGCTAACCAACACAGAGGAAGTTGAGAAGGTAAACAGTTGTAAATATATAAAAAATTCTCTACAGGTGCATTAGCTTATGGACCCAGTATTTGCTCTTTGCGTTTCTAATCTTCTCAAACATGTTTCCAAACCCGTCTTGTTCTTGAGGTGGATTTTCTGACAGAAGTCGAGTTAAACTGAGGGATGATCTTTTCTCTGCAGCAGACGCAGAGATGAGTCACTCGAGATTTTCAAACACAGCTGTCGCCAAATTACAGCGAACCACAGTCCCTCAATGCAGCAGGTCACGCTGGTCTCTCTCTGGTCTCTCTCTGGTCTCTCTCTGGTCTCTCTCTGGTCTCTCTCTGGTCTCTCTCTGGTCTCTCTCTGGTCTCTCTCTGGTCTCTCTCTGGTCTCTCTCTGGTCTCTCTCTGGTCTCTCTCTGGTCTCTCTCTGGTCTCTCTCTCTCTCCCTTTGTGGTCTCTCCCTCCCTCTGGTCTCTCCCTCCGGTCTCTCTCACCGTTGGTCTGGATGGCAGCAGAGATGTTCTCGCTCAGACACTTGTAGACGTTGAGCATGTCCAGATAGATGCGTCCGAGTTGAATCACAAAGGGATGACCCACGGCTTTACAGGCGCGAACATTCGTCTTCAGGATGGAGCCGAGCTGCTTCACCGTCTCTGCGTCCTTCAGGATGTCCACGTTCTAAGGAGGAGGAAGAGGAGGAGGAGAAATGTACACAGGTTTTAACTATCAACATACATGACAACACATGACCAGAGAGCCCGACCTTCACTAAGGTTTAACTTTCACTGATCTCTCCAAGGTCTCTTCCCTCTCTTTCTCACTCTATGGTCTATCTCTCTCTTAATCTATGGTCTCCCCCTCTTTCTCTATTCTCTCTCCCTCTCTCTCTATGCTCCCTCACGCTCTGGTCTCTCCCTCTCTCTCTCGGCTATCTCCCGCTCACTATGGTCTCTCCCTCTCACTCCCCCCCCTCCCTCACTCTATGCTCTCTCTCTCTCACTATGTGCTCTCCTCCTCTCCCTCTCTTTATGGTTTCTCACAGGCTTTTCTCGACCAATCTTACCTCTAGAACCTGATTTCAAAAACCTCGCACCAGTGACAGATGTGTAGTCATACCTTGGTGGCCTGCTGGATGATGCTGTCCCACACCTGGTTCGGCAGCAGCATGTATTTCTCTATGAGGTGTTCCTGGACGGCCTGGTCTGTCTGCGCTCCGATCATATAGCCCACTGCTTCATAGAACGTGTGCACCTGGAGAATAACCAGAAAAATTTAACATAAGACCATGTACTTAAGTCAATTTTGGACCATAAAGCTGGATCCAGATACGATCCAGCTTGTCATTCATAAAACTCATAATCATAGACTGTATACAGATGGACGATGCTAACCCGCTAGCTCGATGAAGTTTTGCTCCAACTCGCTCTGGCTCCTATTGACTTCCATGTTAAAGTAAACTCCTCTAACTCAGTAACCGTTTGTGTCACATCATTTTGGGCTTAAAAAAAATTTGTTTATTGTTCTCTTTATAAATCCAGATATGCGCCTGAACAACTGACCAATTAGGAGGAAATGACATCTGGAGAGCAGCAAGATCTCTTCTCGGAGTGTAATAGGTAAATCAACATTATTATGTATTGTTATTATAGGAGTGTATCGTTACAAGAAGCCAGTGATCCTCAGGACTGTTGGCGTTAGTAACTAAAACAATCATTTGGACACCTTTTGTTACTTGCTTTGTGGAGGGTTGAAGTTGTGCCTGTGTGCTTTTGTCCTTGTTTATTGTAATATGGATTGTTAATCCATAATCCATAGTTAATTGTTGACTCCCACTGATGACTGCTGTCGTTGTGTCCTTGGGCAAGACACTTAACCCCACTTTGCCCAAAGCCCCCACTGAAAGATCAAGGCTATGCTCACACTCAGAGACTCACCACCTGCAGAGGGTCAGTGAGGGGCTGGTGCTATGAGACTTGGGTGGCATCTCTGACTGCCACCCCCCTGACCCAGAAATGGATTAAAGGGTAGAAAATTGATAGATGGATGGATGGATTGTTAATTGGATTGTATTGAGTTCAGGAGGTGGGGAGCTTAGATGTTTTTGCTTCAGCCAACTCATTCAACGCTATTAAATGAAAAGATCAAGAACCTTCTGTCGCTAAATTTGGCTTTCGCTGTTCCTGATTTGCTCTTTGTAACTTGATTGTTGCACCAAACAACATTTATCAGTTCACTCCTCATTCCCACTCTCTGATTCTAAAGCCTGAACCATGAGCCCTCAGAGACTAGGTGTATCTGAACCCGAGACTCGCTCCTCCACAGACCTGCTGCGGCTGTAGATCACAGATGATGGTGTTGATGTTGTTCAGGATCTCGTCGATAAAGGGCATCACTTCTCCCACTTGCACCTGGATAAAGTGCCGCCTGCATTTCTGAGCAATCTTGATGAACGTGTCACAGGCCATGTCCTGCACGCCGTCGTGAGTCTCTGAGGAAACACAGAAATCTGGTTCAGTACAAGAACTATATCTTTGTACAGAGTTGGTTTGTGTTCAAGTTGTTCATCAGGAGCCAAAATGACTCGTTCTGTTGTTTACACATGATTTGATAGTGATTAAATTCATATTATTCTTATGTCCAGAGAAAGAGATCAGAGAGAGACTGAAACAATTGTTCATGAAGCTTTTTAAATCAGGAAATAATATGGACACAGCCTTTTTTCAGATTTACGTCAATTAAGTAAATATCTATTAGCTTAAGCGGTGTCTTTAAACTCTAAGATTAAAAGCAGGAGAGGTTACAGAGCAGAATAGTATTGAGGTGTTCTGACCGTGCATGAACTCGAAGAGTTTGTTGACGACCGTCTTCAGGAACTTCCAGTGCGCCCGCAGGAAGCGCGGGTACTGCCCCACGATGTACATGATGTTGGAGGCAATGATGGCTTTGTTGTCTTTGCCTCTTTTCTGCTCACACAAACCCAACAGGTCCTGGAAGATACACACACACAAACAACTATGTAAACAGGTCCTGGAAGATGCACACACACAAATGTTGTATTCCAGTCCCTGTTTGTCTCTGCAGTGGTGGTGTACCTTGATGACAGTGACCAGAAACCTCTTCTCGTCCTCCTCGTGCATGGCGCCGCTGATGGAGCCGATGGCCCAGCAGAGCGTGTTCAGGTTCTTCCAGCTCCACTCCGTCCCGTTCACCTGGTTATGAAGCTTCTCTGTCATGATCCTCTCCGTGTCTGCGTAGTCCAAGTGAGTGAGGTACACTGCAGGGAGGACGCTTTGTTTGAGTCCACAGAGAACTTCCCTATGGGCTTCATGAAGCTAGCAGGTTAGCATCTTAACAACAGGCCGTGTTCTTACCCAGTGTCTCCCTCATGTTCTTGTACAGGTTGATCGAGTCTGTGTCCTTCATAAACTCTCGCACCACTTCTCCCTGGTCGTTCTCCACCACCAGCACCTCCTCCGGCTTCGCCATTCGACTGACCATCAACAACCGCACCTGAGGAGACAGTCACACAAACGCAGTCACATAACACTATTCTGCACCAAAAGAGTGAGTGTCTCCATCTGTATCCATTTGTCTGTGTCGGTTTCTCTCCAATTCTCTGTGTGCGTCTCTCTCTCTTTCTGGTTTACCTTTGAGAGCACAGGGAGGTAGAGCTGTCGTCGTGGTGGGACATCAAAGTGCTGGTTCCCTGAGAGCAGAGGAGAGGTGGAGGTGGAGAAGGGGCTCTCTCTGTACAGTTCTGCAGCCAGGTGGTTCCAATACTCCAGACAGATCTTAAATATCTCCGTCTCCTCCACCTCCGACACCAGCAGCATGTAGTGCAGGGCCTGAAGAGAAGACCAAGTCCAACTCAATACTCATCACCTTCAACCAGGCTTTTACAATAAGCGAGTTACTGTAATGAGTTAAATAGGCAACTTTTGTTTCAAATATTTTTAACTTTGAGGATTTCTTGATTTGATTCTCACCGCAACTTTGATCTGACCAAACCCATCAGGAATGGGAGGACGCCAATTTGAACATAAATAGTAACACAGAAGGCTCACACAGTCTGTATTATTATTATTATTATTATTATTATTATTATTATTATTATTATTATACACATGTTAAAGTGTATTTGAATTTAAATAGTCAATTTCTATATAATATTACTTATACTAATCAGCACGAGCAGTTACTTTTGCTGGAGTTTTGCAGTCTTGGGTCTCTACAGTCTTGGTCATGGGTCTACAGCCTCGGTCCTGGGTCTACAGCCTCAGTCCTGGGTCTACAGCCTCAGTCCTGGGTCTACAGCCTCAGTCCTGGGTCTACAGCCTCAGTCCTGGGTCTACAGCCTCAGTCCTGGGTCTACAGCCTCAGTCCTGGGTCTACAGCCTCAGTCCTGGGTCTACAGCCTCAGTCCTGGGTCTACGGCCTCAGCCCTGGGTCTACGGCCTCAGCCCTGGGTCTACGGCCTCAGCCCTGGGTCTACGGCCTCAGCCCTGGGTCTACGGCCTCAGCCCTGGGTCTACGGCCTCAGCCCTGGGTCTACGGCCTCAGCCCTGGGTCTACGGCCTCAGCCCTGGGTCTACGGCCTCAGCCCTGGGTCTACGGCCTCAGCCCTGGGTCTCGCCTACCGGCTCAGCCCCTGGGTCTACGGCCTCAGCCCTGGGTCTACGGCCTCAGCCCTGGGTCTACGGCCTCAGCCCTGGGTCTACGGCCTCAGCCCTGGGTCTACGGCCTCAGCCCTGGGTCTACGGCCTCAGCCCTGGGTCTACGGCCTCAGCCCTGGGTCTACGGCCTCAGCCCTGGGTCTACGGCCTCAGCCCTGGTCTACGGCCTCAGCCTGGGTCTACGGCCTCAGCCCGGGTCTACGGCCCTCAGCCCTGGGTCTACGGCCTCAGCCCTGGGTCTACGGCCTCAGCCCTGGGTCTACGGCCTCAGCCCTGGGTCTACGGCCTCAGCCCTGGGTCTACAGCCTCAGTCCTGGGTCTACAGCCTCAGTCCTGGGTCTACAGCCTCAGTCCTGGGTCTACAGCCTCAGTCCTGGGTCTACAGCCTCAGTCCTGGGTCTACAGCCTCAGTCCTGCATCTCAACCCGCTCCCTGTTAGATTTTAATGAATTTCCTGTGTTTGAACAGTTTGATTCTCTGATCTGCTGTTGGTGAATCCACAACTTTGTAAAGTCCGACTGCTGTTGTGTTTTAGGGCTTTACACAAATACATTGAATTGAAGATTTATCTTGAGTGTTCATTGTGTCAAACAAATGCTTTTTTTGCATCTTTAAAACCTGCCTGAAGCTTCTGCATTTACATGGAGTTAAGCTGGTTATAGAATATGTAAAACAGAAGACTTAATACGAACAAAGCCCAAAGGGACGAGAGACGAGTGAAAGTAAGTAAGTAAGTAATCTTTATTTATATACCGCCTTTTCACTACAGATTTGAGTCTCAAAGCGGTTTACAATTGTTAATTTTTGGGCATTTGTCTCTCACTCCACACAGAGATGGGAGCGGGGTCGCCAGTACAGGAGGCGCATGCTAGAACTATTGGACATATTTTTAGTGGTAGGGGAAACCGGAGTACCCGGAGGAAACCTACGCAGACACGGGGAGAACATGCAAACTCCACTCAGAAAGGCCCTGGTCCGACCGGGATTCGAACCCAGGACCTTCTTGCTGAGAGGCGAGAGTGCTATCCACTCAGCCACCGTGCCGCCCTTTTAGGGACTCTGAGGACTAAACCGTTTAAAAACACCATCACTGATTGAGCCTGTGTTTCCTGCAGATCAGAGGAAGTCTGCTCATTCCAGATCTGGGCCGGTGTTCCAGCTGCAGTTGTGGAAGAATGAGGCTACGTTTATTTTTGTTTGACCTTTTCTTTCTCGCTGGGAAACTCCTAGTTATGTGGCGCCCGAGAGCTACGAGAACCATGGAATGTGTGTACAGCAGCCTAAAACAGAATCTAACGCTTTTCTCACATCTCTGCATAGAATCAGACTGAACCATCCGGACATGAATAGGTACTTTTTAATGTGGAGAACCTATGTCCAGTGAGAGTCCAATCAATGAAGAGAAGATTAAAGCTGATCTGTCCACTATAAAAACACACTTCTGATCATAATAGCATCTTTTTGTGATACGAACTGATTGAAAAGTGTTGGAATAATGTCTGAATATAAAGAAGAGTTTAGTGCAGAGAGGAAACAGAGCGAGTCTCATTATAAATCCTGTTGTGGTTCAGACCTCCATGAGCGTCTCCCGCAGGTTCAGCCTCTTCTCGATCAGCTGACCGTGCTCCTTCAGAAACGTGCAGAGGAACAGACTCAGGTTCTGGATGAAGTTCTGCTCGTCGTCTTTGCCGTTTGCGTACGCCAGGCGGATGTTTGTGTTCAGAGGCAGCATCTGCAACGGGGCAAACAATTTCCAGTAAATTTCAATGGGAAGTTACAAAAAAAAATTATCAAAACATTCCACATTAAACATAATAGCTTAATTAGCATCAAAACATTTACTGCAATCTACTAGAAAGAATATGTTTGTGATATTTACATTGTAAACATTCAATCAATCAAAATTACTCCACAGGCTCAAGTGTGTCTTGAATAGTCTTTGAGATCTGTCCTGTACATCTGATGGAGACCCAGGACCAGTAGGGGGCGTGGTCTCAATAACATTGTGCTATGTGTCTGTGATTGAGCAATAATAGTAGAATTCAAGTGTATTTAAATAACATCTGTTTTTTTTCAGTCATGATTCTGCTAAAATACACTTTCCTAAACTATATTTAAGTTCCCAATGAAGAGCCGACCTTCAAGTTTGAAAATTCTTATGAAAAGTTTCCATCTTTGAAAATTCCGGGAATCTGGTGGATCTGGTAGACCTTCCGACACATTGAGAACCCTGTGTTAGACCCTGTAGTAAACCCACACAGACCCTCAGCCTACTCTCTTGAAACCAGGTCCTGCCCGCCCACATTGAGAACCCTTTAGTAAATCCACGCAGACCCTCAGCCTGCCCTCTTGAAACCTGGTCCTGCCCCCCTACATTGAGAACCCTGTAGCTCCTGACACTGACCTGCTTGAGCTGACACATGGTGAGGGTGAAGAGCGACACGAACTGCTCCTCGTACTGGCTCACACTCACGCCGGCGATCTCCGTCAGACACTTCAGCGTCACGTTCCGGAACATCGGAACGTTCAGGAACTGGGAGGGGAGAGGGTCGTCAGTCTCTGGATTCTAGTGTGCGGACTGTGTGTTTTTGTGTTTGTGTGTGTTTGCTAGCTCGCAAAATAACTAAAGTTTTGGGAGGAGATTCTGTAAAGTTTTGTTGATTTGAATCCTCAATTGTCGGCGCCACAGTGAAAACCGCTCAACCACTAACATAAAAAATATACTACATTTTTGTTTAACAGTTTAGAAAATAAACTGTCATTGAAAAGTGCAGCCCGACCCGGGTCACTGCAGCTGCTTCATCCAAACTTTAATTTAAAGTGACAGTGTGTAATATTTACTGATTTATTGGCAATCTAATAGTCGTTACATCAGACTTCCTCCTGTGACACGTGTAGCTCTTAAGTCAGTTCTGGGCAAACCCCGGCCCGTGGGCCAGATGCGGCCCTCTGGTCTCTTCTATCAGGCCCCTGAGCTCCCCTAAGTTTATAAAGATACAGTATTACAGACTTAAATCCCTCAACAAATGTATCTTTACATCGGCGTTGAGGTGTTTTGTGATGATCCACATTCGGTGAGTCACTTTCCTACCACAATTTTTTTTTTTACTCATAACTTAACAAATAAAATTGATGCCACTAGTTTTGTTTCGTGAGTCCAGGACACGCGACATTCAGTGACATTTCTGGACATTGGTCTCTGTCCCTTATGGCACCATGTTTTATATCATTCCATTTCCTGTGTTTGATCTATTTAATTTAGGGATGTAAATCGGCGACCGTTTAACCGGTGGTTGACCGTCACAGCGTTAACCGGTCAAAGCTGTCGGTTAAAAAAAGAGAAAAAGGGGAGGTCTCTTAATAACGCTATTTTAAGCCCTATTTGCACGTGTGACGAGCGGGTCTGTATCTAGCTGTGTGCGCCCATGTATTATAAACTCCGGGACACACACACACACACACACACACACACACACACACACACACACACACACACACACACACACACACACACACACACACACACACACACACACACACACACACACACACACACACACACACACACACACACACACACACACACACACACACACCATCTCTCCCCTCTGTTACCGTCAAAGTTGCACACTGGCGCGGGTCAGAACTACATTGGAGCTTACATTTACACACACACACATATACATACACACACACATACCGGTCTGTCGCGCTCCTCTGTGTCACGGAGCCCAAAGGATTCGCGCAAATACGCGGCTCCAGTCAAACCACATGGAACATGTTTGTGTTTATGGTCCTCGGGATCAGCTCCACACACATCACTTGTATTTAAACTTCTGCAAAGACCTGTGAGACGCGGTTCGTCACTCGCTGCTCTGACCATGTGAACGAGCCGTCGTTTGCTGCTAGAAAGTTTTGGTATTAACCCGCAGCACAGCAGAATGGGAAGATTAAAAAAGCAGTTCTCTGTGCGCAAAGGTGCCGGAGCTGTTGCGGGTTTGGGCGCCGCTGTCTCAACTTTGATCCAGTAGAACGCAGAGCTGCACTTATGAAAAGTACACGGCTCGAAATGGCTGTTATTTCAAAGAACGTGGACTATTTTAAACTACGCGGTTAACCGGTTTCAACCGGTTAATGAGGCTTGGTGGTCGGTCATGAAAATTCATAGTTTTTTACATCCCTAATTTAATTCTCAGCTCTGTGTTTGTCCGCCGAACACACTATTGTGATCAAAATAAATTGCATAGATATCGAGAAAGGTTTGAATCTCGTTCCTTTTACCTTGTAGACCAACGTGCTGATGAGCTTGGTCTCGAAGATGTATCCGAGCGGGATCCAGTTGAGGAAGCGCAGCAACGTCTCCAGAGTGGCGTGGACCAGAGGAGCATTCTGGGAGTTCTCCTGCGGAAACAAATAACGTATATCAGACAGACGGTGGCGAGAGACAAGAGGGAAGTGTAAGAAGGAACGCACCATGACGAACTGACAGAGCTGGAAAATCTGGGAGAATTCGTTGCACATACTGAAAAACAGAACAGATTTTATTAGTACAAACAATGGCCATAGACTCTAGAAACTGTTTTCATTTTTCTCAGGTTCGAGGCAACTCCACCACCAACCATTCACAAACACCAGACTCATTCTAATGTGGGTGAAGTGTCTTGCCCAAGGACAAAACCACAGTTTGGGACGTTACAGCCGTCCCACTGTGGCACCTGGTGTTCCCAGAGGTCTCCCATCACAGCACTAACCAGAGGTGTGACAGTCTCTGGCTTTCACCTGCAGGTGGCGCCACTTTAAACCAATGTTGAGATGTTTTTTCTTAATCCATATTTACTTTTCTGCCTTTTCCCTCTCGCTTTCACAACAGTTTGGTCACTAGTTTTCTAATAAGACAAAGAGATTAAGTGGAGGTCTCGTTTTTTTCTGTTGGGGAAAAAAAGTTGTGGCAAAGTGTTTCTCACTTACAGAATTTGCAAAGGTTTCATCTTTCTTTCCATTTGCATCGACATCCAAAGTAGGATCACACAGGTTTCTGCTGTTTTAAAGTTCCTTGTTTGTTCCTTCTTTTTAAAATCATGAAGGTGTTTTGACAAAATAATTACTTTTATTGAATATGAGTTTGAAGTCCAGCTGAAAACTGAACGAAAAATACTGAGGCTTAGTATGGTAGACAGGGTTCAATGTTCATGGTAATATAAAATTATCTTTAAAACAATGTAAAACATAATAGCACAGGCTCTCGGTGGGGTCCGCACTCATGTTGGAGTTTGATGTCCCCTAGGGGGCGACGTGATAACTTTTCAGGACACATGTTTGAGACCACTGCTCTGAGGTGTTGGTGTGTGCTGGTACCTGTGCTGGAGCTAGTTTAGGAAGGTTCATCTTGTCTTAATAGAAATAAAAGTATTTGATTCTTCTAAACCAGACAATAGTGTAGTGTAGTATCCGTCGAAACATGTCAAGATAACAACATCACTGACCAACTATTGACTGGTATAGAAGAACCAAATACTGTCCTTGAGGTGCTGCTGTGAGCGGGTACCTGTGCTGCTGTGAGCGGGTACCTGTGCTGCTGTGTGCTGGTACCAGTGCTGCTGTGATAGTTTCTGGTACCTGTCCTTGAGGTGCTTGGCCTTCACTTGGGTCATCTGTCCGCTGCTGAAGTCGAAGACCTCCTCGCTCAGGAGCTTGAGGATGATCATGTTGTTCTGACACAGACTCTCACTCGTGCGACTCGCTCCAACGATGTCACTGATGAAGGTCGGCCAGTGCTTCGGCCACTCCTGCTTCAGGATCTGCACACACACAACATACAACACACACACACACACACACACACACGCACACACACAGAGAGAGACGTCAAGACAGACACAACTGAATGATTTCATCTTCATCCTTTTTAATGCACTGTGGCTATTTGTAATTTTATTTTTTATGTTTTGAGTATTTCTTGTGATCTTAATGTGTGCGTTTTTAATGTCATGTGGGATTTTAAATGTATTTTTTAACTATTTGTATTGTTTATGTAGACTTCAATGTTTATGATTTATGCCTGATGTGATATGGGTGTGAGGCTTTGTGTTGCCTTAGAAATTGATTGATAGACACACAGCCATGACACACAACAATACTGTACTCCAGGTTACTTTGAGATGCCTGAGAAGCACCGGGTCTCTCTGGTGTATTTAGTTTATATTGGCCGAGCTGGAGTTGGCTGAATGACACTTTGATCTCTAACTGTGTTAGCAAGAAATAAGCCATTCACAATGTCAGAACCACCTCAGTTTGAAGATGCCTTGTATCTAGACAGACGATGCTAACTGCTAGTCTCAGCAACAGTCTCAGCAACAGTCTCGGCAACAGTCAGGGCAAACGTGTTGCTAACGCCGTGTAAAAAATTTGGCTCCAGCTAGATTATGTTTCAATCTTCCTTTTCCAAATGAAGGCCAACACTGCAGTGACGTCTGCACTGTCAGTCCACTCCTCATATATGCTCTATGCTGCGGATTTTAGCGTGGATGGATTTAAAAACAACTCCAGGTCTGTTTGTGCACAGTACTTCTCCTTGAAAGTGCACATTATTTTATACGTTTCTCCTTCACGTTCCTCTTGACCTTTCTGCCCAGCCTCTGATTCCCGGTTCCACAGACAGTGACGGTGCGTTCGTGTCTAAGTGAGTCAGCTCTGACGTTAGCGTTTTGGCCTTCAGGGGCTTCCGTACTCCACGCTGCTCATTACAGCAGATTCACGAGCAGAAAAAACACACTATAAATAATCTCTGAGGAAGTATGGCAGACTGTCTGTGAGAGTATGGTCAAAATCTCACATTACAGAAAAAAAGACCAGGATTGGACAATAATATCATTGCATTTCCACTTCTATATCACAATCTATGGAAAACGTTATTCAGGCGTACGTTTTCGCCAATATTTATCTCTCGTCTGTCTCTGAGGACTTATTATGTTTTAACTAGAATCTTATTTATCAACCGTTATTTGATCCGGTAAATCCCAGAGATTTCAGTCTTGGCCCCAGAGAGAACGGAGCTACTGTACTTGTGTATAATGGTAGTGTAAACGGGAGGAGGCCATGGTGTCTCCCTCTTTCTCCGTTGTGTGTCTCTCTATGGCCTCTCTCTCTCTGGCTTGTCTCTCCCTCTCCGTCTCTCCCTCTCCCTCTCTCTGGCCTCTCTCTCTCTCTCTCTCTCTATGGCCTCTCTCTCTCTGGCTTGTCTCTCCCTCTCCGTCTCTCCTCTCTCTCTCTCTCTCTCTCTGGCCTCTCTCTCTCTCTGGCCTCTCTCTCTCTCTCCTCTCTCCCTCTCTCTGGCCTCTCTCCTCTCCCTCTCTCTGGCCTCTGTCTCCCTCTCTCTGGCCTCTCTCTGGCCTCTCTCTCCCTCTCTCTGGCCTCTCTCTCCCTCTCTCTGGCCTCTCTCTCCCTCTCTCTGGCCTCTCTCTCCCTCTCTCTGGCCTCTCTCTCCCTCTCTCTGGCCTCTCTCTCCCTCTCTCTGGCCTCTCTCTCCCTCTCTCTGGCCTCTGTCTCCCTCTCTCTGGCCTCTGTCTCCCTCTCTCTGGCCTCTGTCTCCCTCTCTCTGGCCTCTGTCTCCCTCTCTCTGGCCTCTGTCTCCCTCTCTCTGGCCTCTGTCTCCCTCTCTCTGGCCTCTGTCTCCCTCTCTCTGGCCTCTGTCTCCCTCTCTCTGGCCTCTGTCTCCCTCTCTCTGGCCTCTGTCTCCCTCTCTCTGGCCTCTCTCTCTCTCTGGCCTCTCTCTCTCTCTGGCCTCTCTCTCTCTCTGGCCTCTCTCTCTCTCTGGGCATGTAACCAGGCTCATTCATTGGCTGCCCCCTCCCATGTCTCTGTGCAGCTGCTCTGGTCACATTCTGCATCTGTCAGACTGTAAACACCATTGAGGTAAATTAAGAGCGAGGTTTGAGCCAAGAGAATCGTTAAACAGGGAAAAGAAAGAAGAGTCTACTCCAGTTTCACCACAGTCCAGTTCGGGTCTGGGCTTTTAAACAGACCAATGGTAATCTTGGTAGTTCAGTCATTTGTCTTCTTAGTATTAAAGCCCTGTTTCCACCAGCCCAACTTGGCCCTACTCTACTCTACTCACCTCTACATGTCTGGACAGTGGTCACCCTGCTCCCTATGGACCAAAGGCTCCATCTGTTTGTTATTATTACATTTCCTGTGTTTGAACTGTTTGATTCATCTCAGAAGTGTCTTACCTGAACCAGGATCATGTTGAGTTTCCCAATGTAAACTTTTTCTTTCTAAAAACACAGAAAGAACAAGAATAAGTTTGGATGCCTCTGGAGAGAAAGCAAAAGATCCATGAGTCATGTTCGTCCCAGAGGAGTCTATATTTATGCTGATTTGAAGCTTGACTCTGGGGCTCCTGATGCAAACAGCAGAAAGAGGAGGTGAAGGTGCAAACAGAGCAGTTCTCGGTGATTACAGAGCTGCTGCTGGACCAGGGCTGACTCGGGACCAACACGTGGTTACACCATATTCAGAGAAATCCTTCCGACAAACATCTCCACAAGTTCTAAAACATTCAAGATTCTCCAGAACAGGTCGAACTGAGCAACAACAGTCAATACAAACTCAATCTTTACATTTTATCATGAGTTTACTTAGAAAAGATACATCTAGATACCTATGTATTAAACTATCAATATTTTTTTTAAATTTCAAATCAGTATTTTACTTATTTTCATATATTTTGTTCTTATTGTTTTCAAAGGATCCAGTTAGACCTGCCACTCAAACAGATATGGGAGGCCTTTAAACCTTATGGCGCCATGAATAACTCATTCATTAAAGTCTGAGATTTGTCTTCTGTTGTAAACCCTTAAGAGTTATTCACCGTCTCTGGTCCAGAAATCAGTGACGAGAGGAGATGAAATGCAGACAATAATATGATCCTTGTGAGAACTCACCTCCACCGTTGATGCGTCTGAAGAAGTCTTGATAATGAGACCCACAACATACTTTTTTATACCTGTCAGAACAGACATAAAGACAGGGGTCAGTTCAGGAACACTGCTTTCAACACGACAATCTTTGTATTGTCTTCACTTCATTCACACACGCACTGTTGTTTCTGAGCCATAGGGTTCGAACAATGAGGGTTAGAGAACCCAGTGTACATCAGAAATGTGGTTGGAGATCCCAGGACACCTCAGAGTACCCCAAAGTAAGGTCAGGAGCCTGAGTATAGGCCTAGTATACATTAGAGTAGGGCTTGAGGCTCCATCTTTCTTTGCTAAAACTTGCATATTTTCTTTTTATAGTAATAATACTTATTATGCATTGTCCTTGATCAAATAAATTCAGACTATTTTACACTGTTTTTTGCTATTGCGCCATAACTCTTAAACTCCTGCTTTGTTCCGTTTTTCCCTCAAAACACAGAAACTGGACTAAACGTTGAAATGCTCGTCACACCACTTCCTTCTGGGGTCGATTGAGTCTGTCCCAAACGCCTCCATGTTGCTGCTGCGGCAGCGAGCAGAGGGGCATAAACAAGTCAGATGCTTAAAGGAGGTAAACTGCTCAACCTGGCAACCGCACGTCTCAACATTCAAAAACTCAACGATCCGATGGACCCAGAGACTGACTGCTTTTCACTAACTATTGCACCGACCAAAGAGGATCATGGGAGCAAAGATCCTCTCTGGTCGGTCTTAGCTCTCTCGTTGGTCAGTCTCTGTGGTCTCTATCCGTCTGAACAAAGCACTTTAATGGCAATTGTGTGTTGTAGCTTGCTTTATGTACGCGTTTGTCTGGTGCACACTGGATTCTCTTGTCCGTGTATTCCAATGTGGTTTTACAGCAAACAGCAAATAATCTGAATATGAAACCCTTGTGAGTGTTTTTGACAAGTGAAAGTGTGGTGTGTGTTACTTGCCTTCGCACTGATTCCGGGGCAGAATCTTCCACCTGGTTTTGATAACAGTTTCCAGAATCTGAAGAGCATAGTACTGTAACAACACAGAGCAGCGTTAGAACTGGGCTCGGACTCCAGCGGTTCAACAGTTCACAAACATCACTGTGGCATCATTTCAATACAAACCAAAAGAGAATGAGGTGGACCAGCCTTGAGAAAGACTAAGCCACATCCTTCATGCACAAGTTTTGGAGATAAACTGGGTTCAAGTCTAAAGTTTTAGAATCTCAGAGATGCTAGCAACTCTGCGTGGCCTGCCCTTTCTTACAACAATTGCAGAATCAGCAACAGACTCTCTGCATATGCCACAGCACAGTATATGGATAAAGTGTTGAAAATGGTACAAAAGGGATCAAAAGATTGGGCATTGAGTTCCACACAGAAGAGGACTTGTTACATAACACCATCTACAGATAAAGCAGTTTCTTCATTTCAAAAAATACTAGATTTTCAAATTATCCAGAGAGAAACCAGAGGGAGTGACCAGAAGGAGAGAACAGAGAGAGGCCAGAGGGAGGCCATAGGGAGAGACCAAAGAGACCAGAGAGAAAGAGGCCACAGAGAGAGAGGCCAGATAGAGAGACCAGAGAGTGACCATGAACACGTGAACATAGCTATCATATATACCGCACCATTTTGGATATAAAACAATCAGAATGCCATTTTGCACTCCTACAGCAATAGCACACTTTCTCCACACAAATTCCATATATTTTCTCAAGATAGTGTTCAAGGCCACAGTATACAAACACGTGACATCACATTTGTTCTTCCAGAGTTTTAATCCAAGCGGAGGAGACCAATGATGTAGTAGCAAATTAAAATGTTATATTTATAGTGGCTATGACTTCTGACATGTCTCTGGGAGAAGTGTTCAGTCACTACCCAACCTCAGATCCACGAGCTCTGAAACATCAGCGGATTGAGGAAGAAAGAGCAGGACAAGCCACGTGTTTTGCCTGATTGTGTTTGGGACGTTCTAGAATATAGATAATTGTCCGACTAAGATCAGACACTGCTGCTACATTAGGGTGTGTCATCTGGAGGGATCATCAGAGTTTAGCGGGAAAGAATCAGGATGGAAATAAAAGTGGGAACGAAAGAAGGATTTGAGAATGAAAGGAAACGTATGATCAGAAGCTGAACAAACACAAACGATATCTTGGTTTTGATTGTTTCATGGACTGCACTATAAATGTATGACGTCACATTTACAAGAGTGCGTCTGGAGATAATAATCCAAGCTGGAGTTTGTCCCAGAACTTGAGGCGTCCAAAAGAATAGTAGAAGGTGAAGGCGGCTCCAGGGCACAGTTCTGACCCACAAACCCTCAGGGAGGTCGTGAGAGGAATCTGACTCATACACTGTAGATAAGAAATCCTGGACAGGACCAGAGCGTATGGGAGTATACGCTCTGATCCCCAAAGTCTTAATACAGAAGAAGCAGATTTGAACATAAGCTAGCAGGAGGTCCTTTCCTCTGTGGCGTTAGCTTTGCGCAGTAACAGGGCAGACGTGTTGCTAAATAAACACGAGGTAGAAGCTAATGCCCATAAGCTAATTTGCAAATAGGACATTTATCAAGGTTGTTTCATAAAGCTTCCACAAATATTGATGGGAATAGGTTTATTGTAAAGGAAAACAAACATAAGCAGCCCGCGGCGCAGTAGCGGCCCGTGTCCTGCAGCGCAGAAGCGGCGGGCGGCAGCCAGCAGTGAGGTCCACTTTAAAGACTTTAAAGATAAAGATGTCGCAGGTGAGATGGACAGAAGGGGAAGAGGGAGAAGTGGCCATGATCCCTGCAGCTGAACGCCTGCCTCTCTGTGTCCAATGAAACAGATGCAATAGAAACAGAATCGAGTCAAAGTGAATTTAAAAGGGTAGACCTTGTGGAGGCCTGCCGCCAAAGCCTAGCAGAGCCAAGACGATTCTTCCTATTACAGGCTACAAACATAATAACATGAGATTAATGTCATTCAGAGCAGAACATTGCATTTGAATCATTGAAAGAAAAAGCCAAATTGTGATGAAAAAACGTAACTTTTCTTTACGATAAAAAATAAATAAGATATTATTGGTCTTTACTTTATCTATTTGCCGCTAAAGTCTCAATTGTTATTTGGAAAATGTTCAAATATTAAAGCAACTGTTCGTACTTCAACTCAGACAAGAGTCAAAAACATCGGTTAATAAGAAGCAACAAGAAACCAATGCTAGGACGAGAGAAGGAGCCGCAGCCTCTGGACCAGCAGCTTTTAGGCACAAGTCGATAGATCTCAAATCTATTATAATTATTTATCGCCATAAATCACAACAGCAGTCTACTCAGAGGACTGAGGAGAAATGGCCTCTCTCTGGTCGGAAAAATATATTGAATCGAACAAATAAACTTGATTGAGTGAAGAACTTTGAACATGACGATTGCAAGCCTTCGCTCCTTCCTCAGGTTTCGAATGATTACATTATTAATCCTGTAATATTATAAATATTTAAAGTAAAATTTATATACATATATATATATTATATAACATTTATTCATTTGTAAATACATCCTCTCTCTCCTCTCCTATCTTTCATCTGTTTTCAGCTGTATTTTGAATAGTTTCTCGGTCTACAGAGTGTGACCTGAGAGTTAGAAATCTTACAACTACATATAAATCATGCATGAAATCCTAAAAACCCAGATTTAGCATCCGGAAAACTCTACCACATGCATTATTCACCCTGTTCTGAGTAAAATATATTAAAAAGAGAGAGCGAGTAGGTTGTTCTGGGGAGAGACACAGAGGCCTAAAGCAGGACCAGGCTGCAGGTTCCTCTCGGAGCAGAAGCAGAGAGCAGTGCATTGTGGGAGATGGAGTCTTACTTTGGTGTTCATGTTCTGGGAGAACTCCAGGATGGTGTCGACTCGGGTCCAGGCGTCTGGATGCTCCTTCAGGTGAGTCAACACGTCCTGAGCCATTCTCTGCTGCGAGAAACCACAAAACTTTACTTAAACTGTGCCTTGGTTCAGTTATGACAGCTGTGTGGATGATGGGGGAATGATGAGGGAAAGATTGGGGGAGGATGAGGGAATGACGGGGCACTGGGTTAAGGCTGATGCAGTGTTTCAGCAGAAACAATGTAAATCTTAGGAAAAATGTCCCGTTCTTTTCCCATATCATTGTTTGATGGTGATTATTATAATGTTATTCTTGAGTCTGAAATCGTACAAATCTTTATCAACTGTGTCACCACTTATAGACAGCTTCATGAGGAATTAATGAGACCATGAGAAACCAGAGACAGACAGACTATAAAGTAAGTAAGTAAGTAATCTTTATTTATATACCGCCTTTCACAGACCAGAGTCACAAAGCGGTTTAGAATTGTTATTATTTTTGGGCATTTGTCTCTCACTCCACACAGAGATGGGAGCGGGGTCGCCAGTACAGGAGGCACATGCCAGACCTATTGTGCATGTTTTTAGTGGTAGGGGAAACCGGAGTACCCGGAGGAAACCTACGCAGACGCGGGGAGAACATGCAAACTCCACTCAGAAAGGCCCTGGCCCGGCCGGGATTCGAACCCAGGACCTTCTTGCTGAGAGGCGAGAGTGCTATCCACTCAGCCACCGTGCCGCCCAAATAAAGACAGCAGAGAGTGGTGTTAGGCCGGAGGGAGAGAGAGAGAGACTAGAGAGACCATAGTTCATGTTCAAACAAAGATGTGGAACTTTGTGAGACTTGTTTCATGTGGATTGTGTCAGAGGTTTGAGAACTCCAATAGAATCTGATTTTTTAGAGATATTTTTGTGGTTTGAAGGTACTAGTTTTACACCTGTACTTAATCAAAAATACATCTGTATTGGATCTTAAGCCAAACAACAGGAATCCCTTAGATTCACTTTCCAAAATCTGTGGTTGCAGTGTGAGCAGACGCAGCGCCCCCTACCTGTGGCCCCACGCCGTGGTACAAACAGTTCACCACATTATCCAGGAGGTTGATGTCCAGTTTCTGGTTGAAGTCCAGCAGCTGCTGAGCTGCATGGTCCGCTAACATTGTCATCACTGCTGGCATAGAGCTCTGTGAACACATGTGCAGGGGGGGAGGGAGAAGAGGGGAGGAAAATAAGAGGAGGGAGGACAGAGAGCATGAAGAGAGACAGAGAGAGGAGGGAGAGAGGGGGGAGAGAGGAGGTGAGAGAAAGAGAGAGAAGCGAGTACAGGGGAGGGAGAGAGATGGGAGAGGGGGGAGAGAGAAGAGGGGGGTAGAAGTCATGTGAAGAGTTTAAAAAGAGGTGAACAGCTGTGCCACAATAACAACATCAGAGCAATAACAAAACAAAGTTGTGTGAAGGAACAGGACCAGAAACAAAAGTACCCCTGAGAATACCCCCAGGACACTGTTCTGTCTGTTTATAACCAGATCTCAGAATGTGCAGTTCATACGAGGCAGCACAGGAATTTACAGGAACTGGAGACCAAGAAGAATGGGCAGCTTTATCGTAAGAGAGGTGGCAGAGAGAGACTGAGGGATCAGAGAGACCAGAGAGAAAGAGAGAAAATAGAAACCAGAGAGAGACCAGATAAAAACCAGAAAGAGAGATCAGAGAGAGAGAGACCATAGAGCAAGAAAGTGGAGAGCTAGACCCGAGGGAGACCAGTGAGAAAGAACAGAGACTCAAGGGAGACAAGAGAGCAGAGAGACCATGGAGAGAGACCAGACCACATACTACTGAGATCTGGGGGATGGAGACTTATGCAGAAGAGGAGATTCTAACCTCAGCATCATTTGAACAAAGAAAACACATTTATTTGACAAGAAATGTCTCCAAACAACAGCAGTGAATGAGGCGCTACACTTTCAGGCAGATTTATTCCTTTGACCTTCACAATCATAAGTTCTTTATACACACAATATTTATCAAAAACAATCACTAATTCATTCACCCAAACATTTAACTTCATCCGTGCTTCCTGAGGTGAATGAGCAAAATGTCTAAGGGAGAAATCTTCTAACCCTTTGGCAACAACTCTGGCCTTGCTCCCTCTTTATCTCTCTCTCTGCTCGTTTGCTTGCTCTCTCTCTGCTCTGCTCTCTCTGCTCTGCGCGCTCTCTCTCTCTGCGCGCTCTCTCTCTCTGCACGCTCTCTCTCTCTGCACGCTCTCTCTCTCTGTGCTCTCTCTCTCTGTGCTCTCTCTCTCTGTGCTCTCTCTCTCTGTGCTCTCTCTCTCTGTGCTCTCTCAGACTAACCAGTGTTTAAAGGCCAAAACTCACACACTCAAACCTCTCCTGTACCTAGAACCTGAATTGAGAAACAGAGTTTGTCCTCTACAACAACTAGGTCAACAGTTTTCAACAAGTCATTTTTGAGATTACAACACACTTTCTAAACATATTTCAACATCTATGAGCGCTGACAGTCAAGTTCTGTCAGAGGGAGAACTGTGCAGGGAAGAGTCGGAAAAAATTATTAGTTGTCAACTTTATGCCTTCAGCTCTGCAATGATACATGTGATAATGTTCAAAGAGAGTGTGGAAGTTGAAAGGGACATGTAGGAGTATCTGTGTTTGTGTTAACTCTGAAGCTAAAGATTTAACATGAGAGTCTATTATATCTGTAAATATTATATATTTACTACATTTGAAATCTTAAAACATGTCTGAGCCATTACCTTTATATGAATGGACAAAAGTGTACGTTTATACTTAGGTGCTTTTAGACTTTTACAATCCAATTTAGGGAAGGTTCAAAGTGGGCGATATGGCGAAAAAGTTAAATCTCGATTTTATTTCCTCCTTTGGACGATTTCAATTTTAAAATCGATTTTCATTAAACTCACCAAAGACAGACTTTGCCCTTAAAAATAGGTTTTGATCTTTCCGCTAAATATTCAAGTTTCAAAACTATTTTTAATTTGTTTCCTCCAATACGTATTATAAAAGTCTAGTACAGACTGTGCTGATATTGGAAGTATAATTCATGTGTTGCTGGAACTCTCACAATATCCTTCATTCAATTTCACGAATTCATTTTTTTCAAAAGCAGATTAATTGCCTAAATTTGATTTATTGCCCAACCGTAGCTCAAAGCCACCATTGAGAGAAAAACAACACAGTGGTGATAGCTTTACTGTTATCCTGGACTGGTGGAGTCAAAGCTAGTTACCATGGCAACACACTGTTTACTAGCAACAATTAGCATTTAGCTTGAGCCTTAGTTTTAGCTCTTAAGTACAGTGAGTAATGGTAAATAACCTGGTAGATAACTTACATTTGATAAAACTGGTGGAAAACTCAACATTTTGGGGGAAATGTCCCAGAAAACCATTGTTTTAATGGATCAGTGATAATAACGTCTTTGGGACTTGCTAGCTTTAGTTAAATATAATATAACTAAAAAAAGTTTAAATGAATGTACGATTCTCTGGAGCTTTCCAAGACATAACTCAAAGTGCTACATTAAAACAACAGCTCAATGCATGGATACGGGTTTAACAATTAAAATGTGTGCTTAATAACAGAAACAAACAACCGTTTAGACCCATGTCCACTGCCTGCTGCTCCGTGTCGGTCCTCTCTGTTGGATAGTGTCTCTTTAACTCCCTCTAGCACACATCTGCAGGCAGCGCAGCCCAAACACAGGACATGTGCTCCTTCATTGGAGAATCACCACTCCCACCAACACACACAGCCTTCGCATCAATCTCAAACCAATTGTGCACGATCTGTTCTCCTCCACACAAAGTTGCTCAGACACTGCATGAATAAGAAAAAAAAAACTGCTATGTATGCATTGACAGGTGAATATTCTACCAAAACAAGTATGCAAAGGCGACATAAAGCAAGCCCACACGAGCAATTTCTCAAATATATCCATTCAAAAAAAGGCTGTATGTTGTAGTAGTACATGTTTGAATGGGAATACTAATGGATAGTTTGACGAATTCTTAAAAAAGTCTGCAATACAAGCAGATGAAGCCAATGGGAATGGACTGGAGATTGTGCAAGCCTGGGTAAGTTAATATGCATCTGTAGGAGGAACTTGTCAGCTGACTAGTTATGATAGCGTGGTCCAGTCTTGCACCGAACCTAAAGCATCATTGAAGCAAGATCCAATGGATATTTGACGTTTTCAGGCACCGGGATAATCCATAATTATGGCAACATGGCATGGAACTGTGTACTTACCTCTCTTACACCAAAACAAGTGGATTTCCCCAAGATTTAAGCACGATTTTCGCATATTTGTTCTATGACGGCTTGTTAGAATGAGGATATTATAAGGTCTATATCTGGAAGGAAGTACAGTATGCATGTCCACAGCTCTGGGTAAAAATCCCCCCCAAAAAATTGTTGATATGACAAAAACTGGCAGCTCCAGTGCTGTGGGGAGATACTGTGCTTTCTGCGCCCAATGTGAAGCATCACAAACGGGAATATGCCCATTAGATGCATTGTGTGCGTGTTTTGCAGGTTTAAAAGTAAAGTTTATACTCTGGTTGGATTTCTAAAGAGGAAACTTGCAGCGATGTCAACAGTAAGGACAGCATGGCACAGTGCGTGGCTTGTAAAAGACCTCAACAAGGCGAAACACAACAAGAGGAGTTGCTTTTAAATGAATATTCAAGTTTAATTGACTTATCCATACAGGACATTGGTCCAGCAATGACAACATGACACAAAATACACGCTTCTAGCTCGCAAGAAACAAAACGAAAGTGTCCAACCAGGAGAAAACATAATGGGAATGTGATTTAATCAGGTTTGGTCAGTTTATAGCGTAATAAGTAAGTTTAATCGCGTTATATACACTAGATACGAGCAAAGGGGTAATAACAGTGATGACAGCGTGGAATATAGTGCAAGTCCCGACCATATAAGAAATACCCAGTGGTCATTGGATGTCAGCAGGTTTAAAAAAGCAGGATCTAACTCAGGCTAAGTGAATAGACAAGTTGAATGGACTTATTCCTTGCAGGATGGTTGCAGCGTGAGAGGGCAGCAGTGATGACAGTCTGACATAACGCATGGTCCAGTCTTATACAGGATCACATCGAAAGTCTCCAACAAGGAGAAACCCACTGTGCATGTGATGTAACCACGTTTAGTCAGTTTTTACAGTGATAAGTAAGTTTAAATGACTTATTAGTAGCAGGGAAACTAGCAGAGTGGTAAAACAGTAGTGATGACAGCATGGCATAGCTTCAGACCTACCTGCAGTCCACCGCGTTGACAGGAAAAATCAGAATTTGACTTGGGAAAAATATGATAGTATAAAAAGCAGTTGATTAGTCAGATTGATTATTTCTTGGCTTCACTTGAGTCCTCCAGCCCCGGTGCGTGTTGAAGGATGCCTCTTCTTCTCTCGCTCGTCCCAAAGTGCAGTATTACGGTAGAAACAGGTCCATATCGTACATTTTGGTGGTAAAGTGTTGGTTTTATGTGTGTTCTGCCAGAGCTGGTCGCGGGGCGTGTGTGTAAGGCTCGGTGGCTGTCTCTCCGCTCGCCTCGTAACCGGATCAAACCGGTTCAAACCGGGAGAGTCCATCTCGGTTTAGTTTTCTGCCGATGGCGCCGCGGAAAGTTTGGACCGAAGCGCCGCCCCCCAAGGCCGCTGATTGGTCGAGGGGAGAGCGGGGGACGGGCGTTTTAAGAGCTGATTGGTGCTAAGGCGCGTCTGTCAAGTTTTCAATTCGCCCACAGACAGAGGGCAGACGCCAGAGCGCGACAACGTGAGAGGGGCGAGCGTGCGCTGTGGCCGCAGCTACAGCGGCCGCCATCTTGGGAGTGGATGAAGAGTAGAAATCTCACATAAAGAAATGTACAAAAAACAAAGAGACGTAACTAATACTTAAATACTGTAATAATTAAAGAACAGATATGACGCATCATCCGTGTCCATTCTTTATCTTAAAGCTGGGGAACCTAACTTTATTCTTATATATAATCCATGTTGTTTGTCTCAACAGAAAAAGTCAGAATACATTTTTTTTTCTATTGTTAGAACAGTGTCTCCCAAAGTGGGGTCCGCGGCCCCCTGGTGGGCCGCGAGGGTACTGCAGGGGGGCCGCGGGAGGTCATAAAAAAAAAATATATAATTATTTAATGTTAAATTTATAATGTTTTGTTTGTAATATTCAAATATTTGTGTTCATTATTTGACTTGAATAATCCACTGTAATCATTTTTGTATTACAATGTTTGTAGCAGAGGCTATTTCCCCAAAATAAAATGTTGTCTTCTTGGTTATTATTTTGGGGGGCCACGCAGACCCGTCAGATTTTTAAGGGGGCCTCGGTGTTACTGAGTTTGGGAATGGCTGTGTTAGAAGATATGATATCTGCTGCATAGTTGTTACCCTGAGCCCTGTGAGTCACAATTTATCCTTTGTAAATTGAAAGTTACGTACCCCAGCTCTAAACATGATGATAAATAGACATATTTACTTTAGTATTTCATGGTAAAATGCTTATGGCACAGCCTATTAAAAGCATTTTTAGATCAGATCTTTCACACAACAGTGTAAAAGAGAGGACCACCCTCACTCAGCCAATCAGCTCTCAGCCCAAAAAGTCAAATAGGGCTCTTTCTCACATAAACAATTACATGTTTTCTAATAGAATGAAGACAGCAGGTCGTGGTCTGATTTGTTCACAACATTTAACTTTTAGAAGACTTTTTCTGTTGGGACAAACAATAAGAATTTTTCCTGGAGGGAAAAGTGTGGTGCCCTGGCTTTTGATATTATTTGTATTGCGTTCTTGGGCAGATTTGGACTGCCAAATATGGCGGCTGACACTTCCCATGGACCCTCTCTCTCTAGTCTTCCACTGCGCGCTCGTAGAATGGACTTTATAAGCGCAGAGAGTCCGCTACGCGTTTTTATGATGTCTGCACGAGGTCCACCGCGCTTTTCTTTCACTATTTCACTTGTACAGTGCACAGTCATTCATAATGATCATGGAACAGCGAGTGTTTTGGCCTGTCTATTAGAACCGCTCAATACATGCACAATTTGACACTCAACAACTATAGAAAAGCATAGAGCGATAAAAATAGCAACCGATCCTCAAAATATTATAAAGCGTACGCATATTAAAACCATTCAACTCATCACATTTCTTAACCTTATGTTACCTTTTTTCACTTACTTAGCCCTACTCTACTTTACTCTACACTACTCTACTTGTAACAATGGTTTCCAGCTGCATTCTGGCCAATCACTGTCAGAACACTTTAGTTCCAGCTTGGCCTGGATAGAACCAGATCCAAGAGGGACTAAAGAAGGGCCTGGTACTGGTTAAAAATGACCAGCGGAAACACTCTGAATCAGGTGAGACTAGAGTAGAGTAGAAGGAGAAGAAGATAATCCTATATTCGTCCAACAGTGGGGAAATTTCAGTTTTATGAACACATACATACACGTCAAGGCATGCGTACAATTACTTCTGCACTCCTTATGGGTAAAGTTGGGTAAAGAGTCTTGCCCAAGGGCACAACAACAGCAGACAACAGTGGGAGTTGGTGGAGAAGGTCAAGGTCTAACCCTTGCAAAAACAGTGCTTTTGAAGCAGGCTTCGATGAGAGACTTCTGAATAGTTGGGATGGAGTCTCTGTATCTGTTATACATGTGTAACCAGGGAATAGTTTTTAATAACAAGATTCAAGAATTTATTTGCCATTTGCAGTAAAACCACATTGGAAAACTGTGCAAGAGTACCACAGTGTGCTCCAGGATAGTACACACCAGTGCTCCTCCCACGTTTGGATAGGACTAAAACAATGTACTACAGACACAGTTATCAATTAACACATTATCAAGAGCATGCAGAAAATTTGTGTTATGCCATAAACTAACTCATGCACAACTTTGTAAGTCTTATGATTATAGACCTAAACTTGTATAGAAATGTATTACAATAATCACCTATATTCAAGTCTTTGTTTGTTGGTTAAAGACTTACATTCTTTGCTGCGTAATCCCATTGGGCTGTGGCTTAGATACAACAGCCCTATATTAAGTAAATTAAAGCCTTTTCCCAAAACAAACAATAATTGTTTTTTTATGTAACTCAAACCACCATCAAAATCAAAAACACGAGTTACCAGTGTTATCCAGCCAGCTTCAGCTCCACCACACATCTTGTTTTACAGCTCAGAACCTCAGGAATCCAGACGTAGAATATATTTGTATACACTAACATTTGTTTCACTCAGAACAGCCTGGATCCAGTCAAAACATGTGACTATCTGGTCATCAGCCCCTATGACTCTGGTGAATGACAGTGGCTGTGATACTGTAATACTACTTTCATATGGATACATGAGAGCAGGCATACAACAGCAAACCCAATGGTTTTGAATGAATTCAATCTTGATCCTTGAATATTCTTCATGTTGGTGCTAGCGTTCAAAACATGGAGGTCAGATTCCAAACGACAACATAATACCACAACTTTACTCTTGAAAGATTGAGCAAGCACAGAAGTAATACTACTCTCCTAAAGTTACATTAATAGATAGGACTTCCATATATAGCAAAATATTGTCAAATCTCGCCTCTTTTCTCAACTTTCTGAATGATTCTGGCTACAATTGTGTGCACATACGAAATACTACAGTCTCCTATGATCTCATGCTTGCTCTACACTGTCCTACATCCACAGTCGTGCACGTAGGTCGCGCGTGCACACATATATATAGTCGCAGGTAGGTCGCTGGTGCGCTGCTCGCTCTGGAGTCTTTCTTCGCCTGTTGCTCATCCGGAGCTCTGGTAATTTTCCACCAGCCACGAGTGGGCGTGGCTACCCGCACACGCACGCACTCCACTGGGCTCGCGCAGAACCGGCAGAGACACGCGCCTGCTGCAAAAAGACTCGGTTTCTCCAAAAGTGCCCGATTCTCGGACTTCGCAAAGCAGTAGACGCGTGCGTTGATGGCGTCTGTGCGTTTTGTGCGTGCGTTTGGAGACGGCAGGATTGGAGAGATGCGTGTGTGTGTTTGTGTGTGTGTTTTTTCTACTCTGAGCGCGTCACGTGGGCTGGACTTGATGGAAAAATACTGGATTTGGTGTGCGCGCGCTGAAGTCATGCACACGGGTTTGGACAAGGGCGTTTGGAGAGAGAGCTCCCCAGCAACAGAGAGAGGGAGATGTGGCTGTATGCGAGAGTACAGGAGGCTAAAGCGTGCGATAGATGATATACAAGCAATATCGACCTCCATACATCACCATGCAGAGAATATACAGCTTACATTAAAGCTGGGTTGCGTAACTTTCACACCACAACAATGCAATATGTTAAGAATCCATGTCTCTTGTTCCTGGATCTAAAACAGTGTCTTTATATCACTAGTTTGCTCATGTGTTTCACGTCACATCGTTAGATCCACTTTTTCAGAGAGAAAAGTGGGCGAGGGGAACCAGCGAGAGACCAGGGAGAGACCAGAGACAGACCAGGGAGAGACTGGAGAGAGACTAGACAGAGACCAAGGAGAGACCAGAGAGAGACCAGGGAGAGACCAGAGAGAGACTGGAGAGAGACTAGACAGAGACCAAGGAGAGACCAGGGAGAGACTAGAGAGGGACCAAGGAGAGACCAGGGAGGGACCAAGGAGAGCAGATACCAGGGAGAGACTAGACAGAGACCAAGGAGAGGAGAGACCATGAAGGGACCAAGGAGAGGAGAGACCAGGGAGAGACCAGGGAGAGACTAGCGAGAGACTGGAGAGAGACTAGACAGAGACCAAGGAGAGACCAGGGAGGGACCAAGGAGAGGAGAGACCAGGGAGGGACCAAGGAGAGGAGAGACCAGGGAGGGACCAAGGAGAGGAGAGACAAGGGAGAGACCAGCGAGAGACCAGGGAGAGACTAGCGAGAGACCAGGGAGAGACTGGAGAGAGACTAGACAGAGACCAAGGAGAGACCAAGGAGAGGAGAGACCAGAGAGAAAACCCTGAGAGAGCGACCAGAGACATTTTTATCACTAGTTTTCGTGTATTTCTGGCCTCTGACACATCACTCACAAAGAGAGGACCACCCTCACTCAGCCAATCAGCTCAAAGAGTCCAATAGTGACTCACAAAGATACAAAACACATGTCCTCTAATAAAATGTTATGGTCTGTAATTATGATAGAGCATAAATTTAGCAAATTATCAAATTGTGCTGAGGTTAAAGCTGGGTTTCCTAACTTTTATGTTTCCTGGACAATGGCCAGATCTTATCAGACCTTTGAAGCTAAGCAGGGCAGGGCCTGGCTAATAATGTGATGGGAGACCTCTGGGAACACCTGGAGCCACAGTGAGGCGGCTGTAAAGTGCTAAACTGTGGTTGTGTCCTTAGGCAAAACACTTTACCCACATTAGAATGAGTCTGGTGTGTGTGTGAATGGTTGGTGGTGGTCGGAGGGGCTGATGGCACATACTGGCTAACTTGCTTTTGTCAGTGTGCCCCAGGGCAGCTGTGGCTGTAGTAACGGTTTATCCCCACCATTTTTGGAGTGAAAGAATAATGACATGTGAAGCATCTTTGAGCACCTCAAAAAGTGCTAAATAAAACTGGAGCATTAATATTATTAAAAATGATTAAATCCAGAGGTAAACAGAGAGAAACCAGAAAAAGGGACCGTAGAGTGGCCCCTATTGTTTTCAAAAATATGAAAATGAAACCTAGTCTGGGTCATGTAAGTTTGACTGGTTTTCAAACAGTATTTATTGATTGAAAAAACACTGTATTGAACCAGGTCTGAGTTGGAGACAGTGACAGCGACAGTTCATTGTG